TGGGTTTCAGTGAGGTCAAATTCCATACCTCACCCACACCAGCTCACCTGGGCTTGGGATAATTTCTTGTTCCAGTCCTCAGTAATTTTTGCAGATGCTTCTGGATGGCCTCCCAAAAGAAAAACATCAGATACATTTATCACACTCTGAGCTAAATAGACCCAAATGTTTTCATCCCATTGAAAGAAATAATGCCTTGCGAAAGTCCCATTGCAAAGAGTAGGAGACACACTATTTTAAGGGGCATCTTCTTATCTTTACTTGGATTTCTTCAGTTGCTTCTGATGTCCAGGTGGTCCTGTCACCTGTGGGTAAGACTTGATTCTGGTATGGTGTGTCCAAATTTTGATTCTGGTTAACTTGACAGCTGACGGGGTGACTAGAAGGACTTCCCAGGGTCCAGTCCACTTTGATTTTCTAAATGGTTTTCAGATCCATCTCTCCATGTTTTGAGCAGAACATGATTTCCAGGCTGGAGGAGGTCTGGTTACCTGTAGGGAAGGAAGCAGACCTGGGAAGAGCAATTTTATAAATATTAGAAAGTGTATAAATAATAGAAAGTTGTGCATACCGCTGCACCTTTAAATCTTGGCTGAGGTTAGGTAGACGGTTGAGGGAAGCTACCTGGAAAGGTTACTAGACACAATTTTATAAGGGCTCAATTTAAGCCTGCTTCTGGGGACTACCTGAATTTGAAACAAGGCTAAGGCAATACTTGGTCCCAGTGTAGATCAATTTTCTTGACAGTTTGCCATTTGTTTCTTTAGAGTATGGTTCATTTTTTTTTTTAATCTCCATGTTAAATGCAATTTCCATTTTGTCTATAGGTGTTTGCTGCTCTGTTGTCACTTTGGATGCTTTTTTTGGAAGTCCAATCTTGGAGATAATCTCCTTCAAGAGGCTTTTCACTATTTCTGAAGTTCTTGTTTCTGGTGGGGAAAACGTCTACCCAATCAGAAAAGGTGTCTATAAAAACAAAACCAGCAAATATTTAATTTCCCTGCTTGGGGACATCTGCATGAAATCAACCTGTTAATTTTCAAGAGGCTGTTTACCTTGATACTGGTGCAGGACAGCCTACTTTGGGATTGTTCTTGAGGCACATAAAACAGAGCTAACATCGTGAAAGATTTTTTTTTTTTGAAAATTTCTTGCCCTAGAGCCAGGGCCTCTTTCCTGTCGTGGGTCGTTTCATTGACTCATCAAAGAAGAGCAGGGGCTAGTTTTCACAGGATCAGAACCATTTAATTGCCATTTCTAGCTTTTAACTTTTAATTTCTAGCTTTTAACTTTTCAGAACCAGAACAATTCCATCATCATTTACTTTACATCCTTTAACCTCTCTCTCAAATCCTTCTGCCTCAGTTCTGCTCAAGCCCTCTGAGTACACATTTACAAGTTTTTTTTGTTAACGTTTTTAATGCCCTCGTCAGTGTAATCAGTTCAACTTTTTGAGCTGAAATCCCTGGCAGGAGGGCTATTGCCTCTACCCGGACTTGTAAGATTACTGTTACACACCCTGTTATCTGAGTCTCTTCTTCCATGTAAACTACTTCTATCCACGAACAATGTCTAGTCCACCAGATACAGTTAAACAGGTCAGGTTGGCTGGAAAATGCTTGGTCAATGATTTCTATACAATCATAGTTCAGCCCTTCAGTTGCCACATCAGGGAGGAGGATGGCAAGTTTAGTTGCCCCAGAATTCACAGGGTAATATTCAGATTGTCCAGTAAAATAACCTGGTATTGCCCATCTGTCCTGTTGTGAGCCATAGACTTCCTTTCTTCTGCAGCAGGGAGACAACTTGATGGAGATGGGGACGAGCTGGCCAGAGTGAATTTCTCGGCCTCTTTTCTGAGAGGATATTGGTTTCTGTGGGATGGTCAGTTTCTAGGCTTCAATCAGATCTCATTGGGGGATGCTCATTGGCTCTCCCTGGAGTTCTGCTAGCTACACGAGGGGGTTACGTGATTATCGACCTCTTCAGGCCAATGTGACTGGTTTCCTGAGTTTGAAACAGTAATTGCCAGGCATGTTATGAGGAATCTCCATTTGTGGATTTTTGGTTTCAGAAAGCTGTTTGAACATGCTGCTTTGGAAGCAGGTCCAGGCCCAGTAAGGGGACCAGACAGTCATTTTCTTTTCCCCAATGAAGAAGTCCAGGGGTTTCAGGAAGAACTGGTCCTTAGGCCTCCCTTAGGACTTAGTTACTATCACTGAACAGAACAATCACAGTCTGTCCCCCATTGTTATTTTCAGCTGAGGTCTCCGGGGTAGGCAGAGGTGGCAGAGGTTGATGTCAAATCATGCTGGACTCCCTTACCCCCGATACCTTTAGTCTTCTGTAGACTATGAAGTTTGTTCAGCCATCTGTTAAGTTGGATGGCTTTTTCTGCCAGATTCTCCCTGAGATTTGGGCATTCATTTTTCCAGTGTCCAGGTTTTTTGCATAAGCACATTGGTCCTTGCTTAAGGCACTCTTTCCTTTAGAAGTCCTCCTTGGGGTCCCACAGGCTTACCTCTAGTGGCCTTTTAGGAAGACAGTTATGGCCTGAGACTTCTTGTGCTCTGGGTTGTTAAATACCTCGAAGGTGATGTCCACCAGCTGGGATGGATTCATGCCAATTGCCCTGTTGAATTTCTGCCATTTTTTCTTAATATGCAGGGCACTTTGGGAAATACAAGTCATGTTAACCATTCGGATATTTGCTGAGTTCTCAGGATCAAGGTCTGTGTACTTACAGTAAGCCTGGTAGATTCATTCAAAGAATTCAGAGGGGTCCTCAGTTGGCTTCTGTTGAACTGCCTACACCATGTTTGAGCTCTTTTGTTTAGGAACTCCCTTTTTCAGACCTCTGAGAATGCACTTTTTATAGTACTCCAGTGTAGTGTAGTGGTTACGAATTGGGCTGCAAACTGCAAATTCAGTAGTTCGAAACTACCAGCTGTTCCATGGGAGAAAGATGAGGCCCTCCACTCCCATAAAGATTTATACAGCCTCAGAAATCCTGCACAGTGTCGCCATGAGTTGGAACCGACTCCACGGCACATAACCACCACCACCACCAGTCATGGCAAACCCATTTAGATTTGAATTTGTTTCAGCTAGAAGAATTTTATTGACTGGGGCATGGGTCCCATTCAGGTTTTTCTCCATGGATGTTTCGTCCCATGCCTTACCTCAAATCACCCTTTTTTTCATCTCTGGTCAGGAGTATTGTCAACAGAGCTTGAATATCTGCCTAATTAGGATGATGGGTAGCAAAAATAGTGGTTATTAAATTTGTCATTTTGGTTGGGTCATCCTGGTGTGGCACTGTGGGTCAGTGTGCTGGACCACCAAGTCTGTCCAAACCACAAGATTAGCGGTTCAAGTCCACCAGTCGCTCCTTGGAAAACTCGCACAGGATCACCATGAGTCAGAACTGACCCAACAGCACTGAACAACAACATCTCAATAAGAAAGATTTGGATCTTTCCTATTTAACAAGTCTAAGACAGAGGAAAAGGAGCTCTGGTAGCGTAGTGGTTACGAATTGGGCTGCCAGCCGCAAAGTCAGCAGTTCGAAACTACCAGCTGTTCTGTGGGAAAAAGATGAGGCATTCTGCTCCAGTAAAGATTTACAGCCTCGGAAACCCTGTACAGGGTCGCTATGAGTCGGAACCGACTCCACGGGACACGACAAGAGCAAAACAACAAAACAGAGGAAGAAGTATGTACACAGTAATATCCTGCAGCTACCCTTCCACATTCAGTTTTATGGGCATCTGCAGAGGGGGTATTGCCTTGCCTCTGTTCCAGGTAGCCCTCTGCTGAATTGGGTCCCTTGAAGGGTATGGTATAGAGAAATCAAACTGCTTTCCTCAGCAGCTGAATATGGCCGGGCAGGTTCATTAGGTCAAGCTATGCTTTTTCCTAATGACAGCTGCTGGTGTACTAAGAGTTGTGATAAGACAATGTTATAATCAAAAGCTATATTTCATTTAAAAAGTAACCATTCATCTCTTTGTATATTCACATACAGGCCTGTTTAGAACTGTTTTCACCTAATACTCATCTATATTCATTTTTCCTCTGCAAGGCTTTCATATTAGTGGTATAAGTACATTATAGTACATAAACACGATACAACTTACATATGCTTGGCATTCCAGGTTGTTTTCAGTTTCTTAAACAAATATAAGACAAAAACATAGTAATTTTACAAACAAATAGACCATCTGACACAGTGGTTTAACAATTCAAGCTGTATGATGATATAATGATTTTCAGGATCCATTCAAAGGTTATTTTCCCATCATCTAGATCGTACATTGGCCAAGCTATATTACAGTAAAACACCATTTCCTCTAATGTTATAGGCCCATAGAGAAACCAGTTAGAATTACACCTTATCTTTGGGACTGAGGCCTCTACTCCCATTTCAGATACAGAGATTAACCTTAAAAGAAACAGAAGGGACATTTTTAGGAAATTACTTCCTGCCTACCATGCCCCAATGTACACACCCAGAATAAAGCAAGAGGATCTCAGAAGAGCAGGAGCTAGTGAGTTCAGGAGACACAGGGCCAAAGACCTGGCTGTGACTGGCCCCCCTGGGGTTTTAGCCTTTTCAGTGCCACCTGATGATTCAGGTAGCTACTGGCCTGTGCAGTTAGGACTTGGTTGTCTGGTCCTCACAACCAAGGCGGTGGCTGTAGAACTAATTGGAGCTAGGTGTCGATGTCGGGCAAGTGGTCAGGGAGACCTGGTCCCCAGTTTCTACTTGCCACACACATTGTGTGGTGGACCTTTTTAGAGTTCCTTACAGCCTATCCTGAAAGCAGGCCAGTCTACCTCACAAAAAGCCCTCAGCTTCCCTGGATGGAGTCTGACTCCATAATTCTGAGCATATTCTTTTTTGAAGTTCCTAAGCATAACTTTAGAGGTGTTTCCTTCTCCTGTGTGCCTCCCATGGCAGGGAGTTCACAACAGACAGCTCACATCCAGACCTTGCTGTTCCTTTTTCAGGGATTTTCAAATACCTCTTAGCTTTGGTGAGTTTTGAACAAGTAATCCACTCCACACTAGCAGTGAGAACCTTCTCTCTAAGCCATATGATGTTAGCTACTGGCCCAATGCCAGACAAACTCACTCCTGCATACAAGACTTCCCTTTTCAAACTGACTGAGGATCACCATGGTTTCCCTAGTTGTAGGTTCTTGGATGGTGGTCCGAGGTTGATCAGATCTCCCTTCTGATCACTGGCCAGGTCTGACTACCTGTGGGCCCACACCCTTACCACGGTTCAGAAGTACAGGATTAGTTGTTCCTTCACCTGCTTGGTCCTTTAGGGATGAGGATCTGCGACAGGTCTCCATCCCAGAAGAGAGGGTCCACACCGTGAGAAATCTTGCCAGCGTGCACTCAGTAGATAGTCACCACTAGAAGGAGGGTCCATCTCAGCTCCCATTGCTCCCAGGGTGGCAACAGCTCCATGGCCAGTCCTTGGAGTACAGAGAAGGGACGTTTCCCAGCCCAATGCACGATAAATGTTACTGGAGTTGCTCTGAAGGAGTTGCCAACACCATGCAGGTTTTAACAAAGGAAGGGCTTTATTGTGCTAGCACATGGCTCAGTGGATTTGTATCCAGAGGCTGAGCTCCATCTTCTCTGTGTGAGAATATTTTATAGGGACTAGAGAGTGAATACATGAGTTGGGATTGGTTGGGGGTGGAGGCAACAGCTTCACAGGGCTACCTGGGATTGGTTGGTTCAAACATATGGCAGGGAAGGATGTATGAGCATACAAGACAGAAGCAGAAGCAGGTGAGCATTAGCTCTGTTCCCTCCTGGACGTGGGTCAGGAACAGGAGATTAGCCTGGGTAATCACATGAGGCTGAGGCAGTCTGTTGCTTATTTCCTGAAATGTGAACCTTGCTCCAGGAATGGGCTGTGAGCCTGGGGGGCAAGGGGGGCCAGCCCCTATTTCTGCAGGCCTGCCTGCCTCAGTACGACTCTACAATTTACTTTATTTAAAGATTATTATTGTTGTTAAGTGCTATGGAGTTGGTTCTGACTCACAGCAACTCTGTTTAGGGTTTCTGAGGAACAGCTTGTGAGCCAGTGCTTATTTCACAGACCCATACCAGGACTCCCATTTAGATAGCATGCATATAATATATAGGTTTTGAGTTGGCAAGGGTAGACTATAATGGTTAGGTTTCTGTGTCAGCTCGACTCACTCACTGTCTTCTGCTGGGAACTTGGGACTCTACAATTGTAAGATAATAAACCTCTATTTACAAGAACACCCA